AGGGGTGGGGGGATGGCAGGGAGTGATGACGTCCATGCCTCCTGCTTCGTTCGTCTCAGTATGTACAGCGTTTCAGCGATGCTCGTGATGATGTTCGGTCGGGCAAGTATGGGAATATGGACACATTCACATATAATTATGTCATATCTGTGTGTATTCGTGCTCGTACCGACACGTAGACTCGGCAAGTCAGCGCCAAACCAGCAAATGCCAAGACTCCCACTGGGCCATACCATACCTATAAGACTTTGCCAGGCTGTCGTAATGGCTCTCGCATTTCCTGCTATGGAAGCTCTGTTGCCTTTCTGCTTGGCAAATTAACATTTTCAAAACCTAAGGCGCTCATGGCTTATGCCGCATTCCCACCCCAAACTTCCAAGCAATACAATGGCACTCGTTTTGAGCTTTTTCACTCCTCGATGGCCGACAAACGAGTCTTGCGGCATCCCTTTTGGATTTCTACCGAACAGATGTGTTCTCTTTTCCCGCTAGTTCTAAGAGATTTGGAACCGAGCCTGCCCTCGTGATATTATTTCGGGATATGTAAAGCCTCTTCATCATGCGTCGCCTGTGCGGAAGATGAGCTTGTCTCCCTTGCGAAAAGGTCACAGAGCTCTGCTGTTTCATGTCATACACATTTGAACTGACGATGGTGTCCAGGGTAAGGAGCAAAGATCTCCCGATTTTCAAGCATCAAGCGAGCTTCGCTGCTGCAGAATTTATTGGGGCAGCCGTGGTCATATAAGGACACTCGTCTGCTTCGTTTGACGGAAAATGTTTTGGAGAGAGACGCTGCATTTTCCTTTCCGTGCCACAGGCCCCCCTTTTCATAACTTGATTTTATGAGTTCTCAAGAAAAGATGCAGGAGCCTTGCGCAGACTTTCCAAGATGTTTCTGAGTTAGGCTGAGAGAAATCATCTGACTTGATTTGGAAGCGCTCTGGTTTCTGTTAAAGCCGTCAGAGTTTTGTCAGCCGATAGATGGAGAATTGCAGCTGCAGTCCGTTGCACTCCTCTGTTGCTCATCTAGTTTCCATAGCACAGGGAAACAATGGAGCTAGACTTTAGCATACGGTACAGAAAGTAGACCGCTCAAGGAAATCGGTTGTTCCTCTTCTCTTCAGGAGAGTTCTGAAGGTAGCGTGCGTCGGAGGAAGAGTCAGAAAGAAGACCGGGCTCGGATCATGCAGTGGAGGGGGTGAAACGGTGAGACCGTCGATGTCCGCAGGTCAAAGCCTGCATCCGGAGACGTATCTAGGTTATCACCTGCACGTCTAAAAGAGTCACGTGCCTGTATGCATCTATGCAAAGACCATATGATTTTACATGCCCGCTGCTATTACTGAGGCTCCCGCTGGAGCTCAAGTGGCCTGGCGTACGCCCCGTCGTTTGGTCTACAAGGCAAAGTCGTCAGTAGGTTCCCAGTAAGATTACAGACTAAGCGACCTCTTACTCCTCTCTACCAGTTTGCTTAGGAGCAAGAGAGCAGACAGTATGTGAAGCCCGAATTCTGAGAGTCGAACGGTCGTGTTTGCCGCGAGGCAAAGCTGGGCATGAAAGGCCTTTAAGTTGTCCGAGGGCTTACTGGAGCATTTCATCTCAGTTGAAGCCTGGTCGACTAGCTCGTTTTGCTGCCGCAAGCGTAGTGGAAGGAACGGAGCATAATTCTTCGGCGGGGGCTAAGACGCCAGGCGAGTTAATGGCCTTGATTGCCTAAGTCTGCACGCATTTACTGGGCAGCATCTCAATCGTGTAGGTAGCACCAGAAAGACAACTCAACAAGCAGCTAGCAAGCAGGGTTTTGAGGCAGCCGAGGAATACGAGCAATCGCATCGAGACGAGAGGTAAGATTCGTGGTTCCGCGCCTCGACCTCCGGTCCTGTGGCTCCAACTTACAAATCGCGTAGCGGGGAAAGCTCGTTCCTGCCGCGACCAGTGGGCGCCAGCTGCCTCAGTCGGAATGGCAATGCTCATAATTCTGTACATGTCTTGTCTCTGCAGGAATCTCATGCTGCATGGAAACGACACATCCTAGCTTGGCCCGGTGTGGATTTCAACAGAAGGGCATGTCCATGCGGGTTTGGTTCTCAGGTCCCTGAGATTGCACAGGCGGGTCGTGAGTGTTCAGCAGTCACGGGTAAAGCTCCGGGATCGTCTACAGAGTACCCACTTTTTCTGGTTGCTTCAGTACACTTGAATTCAAGATGGCGGCTGTAAACCGACTAGCTTGCTTTTCCGTTGATGTTTCTCGTGCACCGAAGCATGGCCTTGTGTGGTGCTGTAGCAGAGAAAACTGACAGCTGCATGCCCCACTGACCAGTTGCCTCAGACTCAAAACGCAAAGTCCAGTCTACTTGTGACCCTGTGACCCTGCCTCCTCCGCAAGACACCCAACCGGCCATGTCTGCAGACTCGGGCGTTCTGGGAAGCCTTTCTCCTCTCCCTTCACGCGAGAGGCGTCCTGGCTTTGCGGTCCGTGTTGCGCAGTCAGGGGTCATAAGCAGTATCCCAAGGTGCTGGAACAGAGTCGCAGTATCTGGAACGTGGAAGGCACCTTCGGTTCAAGACTTTGCTGCAAGCAGATTTCAGAAAACCGGGAAGGCCTGTCGTAAACCGGAACCATCCGCCAATCTACGTTGACACACGAGTTCTGTAAACGACGTTTTCTCAACAAAAGTACCTGCCTGTCCTTCTGTCCGCGCAGTCAGCCCCAGATGGTGTGGGCATGTCCCAGGTCTTGGATAGAGGCCCCTAGCAGGGTCGACATGCTTCCCCCCTTTCACAACTTGGACTGCAGCGCCATATCTTTGCTTCGGGGACTGACCGGTGCTGTGGAAAAAGAATCGGTTTGGTTGGAGTTTAGCTTCCACCACTAGCCTGCCGGTGGCCCGAACCTTGTTGTCCTGCATTGCCATTATCAAGGCATTTCTCCGCTTGCGTCTTGGTTTTCCTGTTGCTTGGGCTGCAAGATCAGATCTGATCTATGGAGCCTCCGACTCTGGGAGAGACGGAGTTGTCTCGGTTGTAATCTTGGGCTTTTGGTTTTCGCAAGACACGAGCTCGCTCCACGGGATGTTTCCTCCGGGTTGGGATGACTGTAGGGCCTAGGGTTCTCCTATCACAACCGGCCCTTGGACGATGCACCGCTCCATGGATGCGGAAGAAAGACGTAACCGCCGGAACTTGGATGCAGTCCTTCGTGGACATGGCCCCTGACGCACTGTGCCTGCGGCAATTCAGCTCTGCTGAACCGAAAGCTTGCGACTGATTGCAAGATGCCAGAGCCACGCGAGTCTTGGCGGAAGTAGCGAGACATTGCTGCACCATGTAGCGCCTTGGCACCACACGAGTCTTGGGCAACGTGAAAGCGACTTTGGCAAAAAGAAGTTGGATCTCCGAGGTACCCGAAACTTGACACTTAACGAGCACTTAGCGACTTAGCGGTTTCCGCTTGTTTGATTTTTTGGGTGCTTGGGAGGTCCAAGAATTAAGCAGTCCCAAGCAGCACTGCTTCTGCCAAAATCCTGCGCATCAAAGTTGGACAATCGTGCCTTGGTACTTGCACGAAGTGCCATGTGCACTGCACTTAACAGTGCGCTTAAGCCCCGCTTTCCGCAAGTACGCAAGTACCCTCATCCGAGTGCCCGGCCGCATTAGACTCTGACGCCGCAAGTAGCTGCATCCAGTGTGATCTATGTGTGCGGCTGGGCGCTGCATCTTCCTTGTAAGTTGGTTGTCGCCCAGTGTATGAATTGCACGTTGGATTCCTGTGCTGGCTAGGGCAAAGTCACGACTAGTTGGATAAAGGTCAATTGTGCAGAAGGGGTTGTTAATATGTGTTTCTAATATCTAGAAGAGAAGCTTTAGTCACTTGTTCGAAGTTTGGTTTTGTGACTAGTGACTAGTGTTTGGCCCCTGATGTTATCTGCAGCGGCTGACTTCCTAGTCCTACAATTCCTAGCTATTGCAGTTTACTGAGGCGGATTCTCGCCCTGACTTGCCGAAGGAAAGACACTTTGGCACGCAGACATTTCCAAAGCTCATGAGCGGCATAGGAGCTCTAAGACCCGGTTTGAACCCAAGCATTGGTCTTGAATCTTGAACATACTTGAACATGGCAGTGTACTGCTCCTCGGCCTGTGAGGCATCAGTCAACACATCCAAGCGAGCCAACACCACTAGAGCGACTAACGACTAGCCTCATGTCTCTCAACCCACGGATGCTGCAGGCTTCTGCTTCAAGGGGCTTTGTCCCTGACTTGCTGCAAGAATGTCGCACACCCATCTACACAAGAAGTTTCTCTGTTTTGACAGCTTCGTGTTCAGCCTGGAGCAAGTCCTATGGCTTGGATTTCGGTTTGTAAGAGACGAATAGCCATGCGTATACGTTGACTTGCAGGCAGAGTAAGCGTCTGTTTCTTGCAGCAGGTTTTCTTATTCAGGTTACGCATTCAAGATGCTGGCTCAATGTAGAATGCGGGTGAGCTTTGCTTCAGGGTGAGCTGTCCTGTTTGCGTGCATTGGCATGAAGTAGGAAGACCAAAGTACGGCGATGCCATTATCCGGATGCAGTTTCTCCTGCTCGTTATCAGGCACAGCAGCCTTCAGTCAAGAAGTGACGTCTTGTCTGAGACACTGCAAGCGCTTGGCTGAGGTCGACCCCTCAAATTCCTGCCTCACTATGGCAGAAGGCTGCAAGAGCATTAATGAGTCGCAGCCCAAATATCAACCCGTCTGCATCAGAAGGCACCTGTTTTGCAGCTCCACGCCTCATGGGCTCTCGCTTGCGACACCCGTATGCAGCACACATGACCATGACAGAATCCCGGAGACGAAGCGATAGAGAGCATGCGGCATTTTACTGCGTCTGATCTGTCCAAGGTGACGAAAAGAAAGACGAGGACGTGAAGCCCGACGACGGAAAGGGAAACGACCAGGACGGGTGTCGGTTGCTTGCTTTGCTCACCTCATCTCGTGCTCAGAGACTCGTGAGACCAGACATGCACCGACTTTTGCAGGACAAAAAGCAAGAAAGGGAAGCAGCTCTCGAACAGGCCTGCGACTTGCTGACCACCGTCATGGCGAGCGACCTTGGAGCTTTCTTTGCAGGCACAGGCAGCGCGAGCAGCCGCGCTTCCAGCACAGGGCCCTGGCCAGACTTGAGGGGTGTCAACGAGCTTCTTAAGTAGATGAACGTAATGTTGTGATGACTGTGGGACATTGCGGGATGGAAGTGGGACAGTGCAGCTGTAACTATGGAAAGGCACAAATCCTGTAATGAGTCATGACAACACTTCAGCATCGGCTTGGCAGAGCTTCTGGCTCAAGCCACACGGACACCACCAGTTTAAAGCGCAGCCACGCACCGGGCCATGCCATGGTGCGGGCCACCCAGCGGCTCAAAGGTACTCAGCACGGGCGATTGGTTGGACAGCATGCCCGGCTTTTGGCAAAGCATGGGCTGTGGTGCGAACTTCAATCATCTCCATGCCGTCCAGCTCAAAGGTCTGGAACTTGGCACAGTAAGTACTGGCATGCGTGCAGTATGCATCACCTGTGAAAGCAAGACGGACAATGAGCAATACTGAATCCTGGCGATGTTGGGCTGTCGGTACCTACAGAGCATGATGTTAAAGTATCGAAGGGCCGCGGCATCGGGTACTCGCAGGCAACAGCTGTGCATGCATGCTTGCTAAACGGCTGAAGGGGAGGCTCACCATGCTAGTCACCCGCTAGTTATGCTGAGCCCAGAATGACGCTTAACTTTTTGGAGGAGATCGCGCGCTTCGCAGTTTCACGAGTACACACTCGGGCCCAGCACAATCACTATTGCTTTCACAGCATGTCGTGTTTCAGTTGCTGCAGGTTTTGCCCGCCATGTTTGTAGTACCACGGTTCTGCGGGGCACTGAAAGATGCCACTCGCTGTCCGGTCGCTTCGTGTCTCAGAGATAGGACTCGGACTGGGGGACTAGGCCGAAGCTCTACAGGCATTCAGAGCCTCCCGTGGAGTTTGCAGCCGAGTTCGATCATAGGCATCTTTTCAACCGTCCAGAGGCAATCGGCCGTGTACGGGGCTCTTTGCAGAGTGGCACGACAGGGAGAGCGATCGCGAGCCCCCAAACCGAAATTAGGTGTTTGGCTTGCGCGGACGGCCTTCTTTTTGGCTTTGGCTGGAAGGGGAGGGACTGGAGGTGCTTTGGGGTGCCTGGAAGCGCCAAGCGAGACCCATAATATGAACGGTGCATGAACAGTTTGGAACCAAAAGTTTGAGAATATTGGCTACTGGCAAGGGCCACTGAAGATCCGCGTCCAAACGTACTTGTTTTCGGAGAAGGTCCGATACTGACAGTGCTATGGCTGCTACGGTTCCTTTACGAAGATTTTCAGGCCCTCGGCTGGACATGAAGCGCTTGCGGCTGGCGCTGGATCGCGTGCAAGCACAGCATCCGCGGCTCAGGGCCCGGCTGATATGGGATGCCTCCGGGCAACACTATCTTGTCCCTTGCTTGAGGAAAGAGTGCCTCCTCTTTTTCGTGTTGTATGCATTCTACGGGGTCCTCCCTTTGCGGTTCGTCAGCTTGACTTAAGTGGCTCTTGATTCCCACGGACGGCAAAAGCGAGGAAGCTCTCGTGCTCTCTGCAGGTGGAAGACAGCACACCTTTGCCCATCCATGAGAAGGAGGGAGCAGATCCAGCGACCATGAACTTGGATCTGGAGGCAGCTCTTCTGACACTTGGAAGAAAGCGGGTTGAGCTTCAAACTTCCGCTTCCCAGTCTCAAGCAGAGAGGAGCAGATTCGAATTTGCACCAAGGACCCACATGGACGAACACCCTTCAGTCTTTGTCACCTACATTTGGCGGACTGGCCTATACCATCTGGGAAGTCATGCCGACACCTGTAACTCCTGTACACGTGTTAGTTCCACCCCGGCAAAAGGTACGGCGATGCAGCGCAGCGGGCCCTTCTGCTTGTGGGCATGAGGTACCGAGTCCACACAGACAAAGCTGAGTCGTGGGCCCCGTGTGCACGTTGCAGGCATGGACCTGGAGATGGCCGAGCCGTGGAGATCGCTCTGGCGCACCCCGGCCACCATCGGCCGCTAGCCTCATTCGGCTTCGTCACCCCAAGTCTTGCGGACCCAAGGCAGCTGCTTCTGCTCTACGAAGGACGACCGCTTCCGGAAGGAACCGGCAGCAGCTGCCTGGTCCTGGAAATCTTGTTGTCACACACCTGTTGATGTGCCAACAATGCCTGGCCTCTCCCGTGCCAAATATGAAAGATCTCGTGTCCACCAGACTGGATGTGACGCGAGGCCATATGAACTACACCGAAATCATCAGCTTCGATGGCAGCCTCAGCAAGGAGCAGGTGCAGAAGTGGCGGTCGATCGAGGCGGAGTATCCTCCGAAGATTCGCAACGCGCAGCACGAGCCTTGATCCAAGTACCCCGCCTCGTAGCAGAGACCGCGAAACGCCGATCCCAAACTAAGATAAACTAAGGACACCTTCGTTCAACCACGACATCCGGAGTTTCGGGCTGTTTTCGAGGCATTTGTTTTTTGCCTTGTCCAGTGTGTACTGGTGGCTGTGCAAAATCAATGACCGCTTTGTCATGGCTCCTGTCCACTGCTCTCCTTGCCGCTTGGCCAGGGCTTCTGCCTGGAGCTCATGCGACTGGATGCATCGGAGACGAAAGCTCTGGCCAAAGCTAGCCGGGCCGCAGGAACCCTGCAGCTTGAGATCCATGACATCTGTTGTTTTTTTTTCAGGGGGGTGCAGGGGCTGGAGACATGGGAAGCTGGAGTCATATCAGGCATGTGCATGCTTCGCACGGGTCAGACACGACATGGATGGCAGGAACAACGGTGACTGGTGCGATCGTGGCTGCAGCCCATCTGGCAGTGTTGAAGGAGCGCACTCCACAGTCTGCCATAGCAGAGCATCGGCTGAGCGCTTCAGCAAGTCTGTCTCGCGAGGAACTTCAAGCAAGATGTTTAGAAGCAGATCGCATCAAAGTCGGCCTCCTCATGAATGAGCGGTCTTTTGTGGATGCCTGTCCTGTGCGAGGGAAGGTTAAATCGACTTTTTCAGGCCTCCTGTTGTGTGGCTCGGGCCGCCCGAGGACAAGCGCTACTCGCAGGAGATGGGAAACTTCGCGAGCGCCTTGCACTGGTTCTCGGAGAATCAGCCGGACTTCTGGCACACTGCAAGGGAAGCTCGTCGATTCATGGACCGTGTGATCCAGGACTGCTTGGCCAGGGCACCCGCTAGGGCCAGGGCATAAGACGGGCAAAGCAGGAGAAATGCACCTTTCCCGGTTTCATCATCCAGAACGAGCTTCTCGGCCTTATCTTCTGCATCCTACAGCGATTGTCATGGCTTTGTGCGAGGTTCCTTTCCATGGAGATGCTCCAGATGCTGTCAAGCGCCTCTGCAGAGCTCGCAGCTGGCTTTGGAGAGCAGGGAGATCACGTTTCCGCACTGGTGGCTGCATGTAAATCGCTTCGCTGTGGTTTGCAGGTCAAGGTTTAATTTGTCCGCTAGCGCGAGACCCGCCTCGGAGCCGTTTCCCAGTATGTAGACAAATAGAATATTGTCCAAGCCATGGTTTGGGATTCAGTGTTTAAGTTTCCGGTGCAATCATGCCAAAAAGCGGCAGGAGAGAAAGGGAGGGCAAAGAAGCACAGAGGAAGCAAGCGTTGCCGAGCGAAGGGAAGGAACAATAAATCGGAAGGGGCCAAAATTCCAAAATCGCATCCAAAGTATGGACCCAAACCCAAACTCCTGGAAAGACCAGCCGCAAAACCGTCAAAATCACAGGTGTTCCTGCCCACCCCGCTTAAAGTTGCTTGAAGCCCTCCAAACCCAGAGCGCGATCGGCATCAAATTTTGGGAGCGGCTACAGGGGGTGGATGCAATGTAAATACAATTACACCCGCCGGATTCCATGGATCTGATCTAGACGCCCCGGTTTTTCAGCTTCAAGCCCTGGCAGTACCTTTTCCTTCCGTTGCAATGCAGCATGCAGCCAGACTACCCCTCAGGGGGCATAAAACGTAACTCTCCCTGCATGCAAGCACGGGTGAGGTATCATCGCTGGGCGTGTTGACAAGTTTTGGCAAGTACGACAGCTTCGAAGTTCTCGAGAACATCCAGGCCTTCCCCCGACCCACAAAGCAGTTCGACGTCGGTTCAAAGCTAAACCCCAGTAGGCGCAGTGGGACATGCCTCTCTTCCGAGGCTGCGCTTGCCGGCTTCATGACTGGCATCAACCTCTCTGTTTGCACCAGCGGAGCTTCTGGCACCATGACTATGAGCGTACAGGTGACGAAGAGTCTCCGCCGCACGTGATACAATTCATGAGGTAGTCCCGAAGTCAATTGAATGCCGTCTTGCAATCAAGCTTAGCCCCATACTCGTATGTAAGCCATGGAAGTGTACCAAGGAACATTGTGCCCCGAGCTCGGGAGCTAGCCAAAGCAGTATCTCAGCACATCAAGGACCCTGTTATATTGCCCTGCTCGGGCACACTTCGTCGATGTTGGTCTGCTTTCGCGACCGCTCACGCTTTCTTGCATTCCTCTCTTCTGCTCCTTTGCTAGTGACACATTGCAGTCTGTAGGAACATCGATGCGATCCCCGACTAGAGACTCCACAATGAAAATGAGCCTCTGAAGACCCAAGTTGCATAGCCGCGAAGCAGGAGGCGCTCAGCAACCCACCGCCCGTGGAGCCGGGCGTCGATGCGGCACTGAACCCTGTTGGGGCTGACTTCCGCCAAGCCTGCGAGGCCGCGAAGCTAAGAGGTGCAACGTTCGTCGTTCCTCTCTACCTACTCTTACTTGTTGTTCACAGGCTCATCTGTTGAGATGGGATGACTTTCTCGGGTCGATGTGGGAGCTTTGGAACTGGGGTTTCGGAATTTTGCGGCTGCGTAGTTTGATCTCTCAATTTTTTCACAGTGGTCTCCTCGAGTGGAGCTGCCGTCATCCACCCCAGCGGAGCTAGCAAAGCATCCAGCAAATCATGCCGTCTGTAGGTTGGTCATGGCTGGTCCATAATCATAATGCAGCTATATGCAGCTGCACATGCTCATACCGTCACCTCATCTTGCCCTGAGATCATGGAGCCGCTG